GTCACAGCCCTCGATTCTCCGCGCGGTCCTCGTACCCCTGTCGACGACACCAGTCGTTGGGGGAACTGATCGCGGCTGCGATAGCGGTGCTGCTGCCCTTGCTTCTGCTGGTATCGCCGCTGCTGCTGCGGCTGCTGCTGCTGTTGCTTGGCTTTTGTCACCTCCGTTGTGACCAACCTGTACACTTTCTCGAACTCCCGCACGTGGGTCAGGACGAGCGCGGCGCGGTGGCCGTCCTGGAGGGCCAGCCACCGGAGGAAGTCCTCGAGGTCGCCGATTCTCGTCGCCTCCGGCCAGTACGGGAAGACGCCCTCGTCCAGCCACGGGGTCGCCCAGGACTCGTTGAGCAAGGCGTCCGCACCAACGCTGCGTTCCATGGCATGCGGTGACGGCGCCCCTGCGGGGTGTCGTTGCACGTGGGGGAAAAAGAAGAGGCCGCTGCTGTCATGTCGTTGGAAAGATAAACGGAGGGGTGTGCGGAGGTGGCTTCCACTTGGTGGAATAGTCTAAGCTAGTATAGGGCGATATGATGGCAACGCGGTTGTTGGATGTTGTTTTGCGGTGATCTTGTCGGGAAATTCCTCCGATTGTTGCTTCTCTCTCGTTCTCTCTCGTTCCTGCCCTTGTCCACAGGAACAAAAGGCCGGAAGATACAGCCGTATACAGCAGGGGGGAGTGGACTCCTTGAACAAAACAATTAGTGTATATTATAGACCTTGCCCCCAGAGGATCGCTGTGAAGAGAAAGATATTGACTATCGCTCCGCACGTGCAGCACAGCGTGTACATACTGCTGTAGAACTGCTGTAGTAGAATGCCACAGAGGCGCCCCACCCTTTGAAACCTCGTCTCGGAGAGGATAGCCTACACTGCCTACACCTCCCCAACGAAGATCGGTGCTTTTACCTTCAACACAGCTCCAGTGACCATGACTGCTGTGTACTGTAGACCATGGCTCGCCCAAAACGCTACATTGCGCTCTACACGAAAACGACTGCGGAAGAAGCACGGCATATGTATGTAGACTACTGCTGTAGTCAGCATCCACGGGCAAATTTACTCCGAGAAAATAAGCCCAACAAGCCTGCGAGAGGTGCCGAGAGACAGACCGAGGGCCCCGCCGCGTCAACCGAGGCATGTCCAGTCAAAGGGAAGTGAAGCGGCAACGCTGGGTGGGAACCGTAGGACTCTGCTGCTGCTGCTCCAGCCACAACGAACTCACGAAGATGCTGCTGCCACTCAAACTTATACAGCAGTAGTGGGACGTATCTTTTCACCCGCGCGGGCCGATCAAAACATGTACTCCCCTCGGTGACATGATGGGTCTACCGATGCTGCCGCCGCTGCACAAGCTATATCTGTGGCAAGGCTCGGCGCTCACCTCAGCCGCACCACGCCACTGCTGCTGCAGTATACAGAAGATCTGTCGGTGTACAGGCTTTTTCCTTGGACTGGCGACCGATGGAAGAGGGTACGCTGGCTTCTCGGTCTGGAGGGGGTGGCCTCGGCGTATTTTTTAGCCGGCAAGTACTGCAGCAGCGGTCCGGGTGGAGAGGGATGTAGCACCAGCGGGACGGGGGGACACCTCACCGAGCAGCGCGCTACATGCGGGATACAGCAGGAGGAGCAGGAGCAGCCGACACGGACGGGCGGGTGTGAACGCGACGCAGCAGAAGAGAGTGAGAGCCCCGGCCCGCGCTCCTCCCGGGAAATTACGCAAGGGCAATCGATGTCTGCTGACCCTTGCCACAAGAAAGACACACACACACACAACCGACCCACCAGAGGACCTAGGGCTCCAACAGATCAGCGAATCACGATCTCCGTAAATAGAGCGGGACGTGATTGGAGCGCGCAAGTGGAGATCTCGAGCCTGCCTCACGAACCTCTTGGAACTCCCATTTTTCTGGTTCCCAATTTTTTTGGCACACAGCAGGGCTGTGCCTCTGCAGCGCACGACAGAGAGACAGGCACTCCGCTGATGTTCACTCTGCTCGCTGCTTTCCCTCGCGCGGCCACGCACCCACCAGCACCCCTGGCGTCGCGATGAGCGCAGCACTGGGTCCTCGGTACGACAGGCCGCTCGAGAACGATGACGACAACGTCTTCAGCCAAGCAGCGGAAGGCCCGGCGCAGGGGGTACATAGTTGGCTTGAGATGCTCCGCAGGTGCGTTCCCAGGGAAGGACAGCAGTGATACTGTAGTGCAGTGGTGATGTGTGGAGGCTTTCAAGTACACCCCGTCAAATATCATGCCTTTTGGGTGGATGATGCAACACTGTGCAGCAAATGCTTTGCACTTTGCACACAACATGTGGGCCTCGACCTCCCTCCCTCTCGCCCCGTCTCCGAACTCCGTACCCTCCCACAGGCGAGTGTGCGGTCGAGGTAGCACACGCCGTTGTCTTGCCGTTGTTGCACGCTATCAACCTTGATCTGTACCTCCTCTGCGGTGTCCTTCAGGCCGAAAAGACACCACAGTTTCGGTGTTTGACTTGGCCCTAAACCACGGTGCCGGGTAGCGTCCGCTTCAGTTTGGAGCAGTACCCGTATTACAAAAGGCAAACAATCACAACAAAGAAGGCTAGAACTGAAGAGGTCGCAGACCATCTTCTGAGAAGTCGAGGAAATGCCCTCATCTTTGGTTGACCCAACGGGTTTGGTTTCGGCTGTCACAGCAGGCTGTGACAGCAGGCTGTCACCGCTACATATAGACGCAGTTTCTCGTACATCGGCACGACGACTGACCGCAACTAACCCTTGAATCGCGGTCGGCTTCGTTCGAACAATGCCGCGCGCTATGGCCGTGCAAGCGAAGACGGGCGTTCCCCGGCGCGGCGAGGTTCTCGGGAACAACTCCAACACTCCATGCGTTGGGCAACCGCGATGAAATCCATCCCGCCTGACGACAACCCCGGCCGGGTACAAAGCGGGCCCATCTCTCATCTCACACACCACGCTCGTGACCGCTGTCGATCTCAAGGGCGAGGGTCAAACCCCGTATCAGCAGTGCGAGTCATCGCACAATCGACTTTCATAGCTCGGTTTGCTCCACTACCAACAGGTTGCCAACATGCCGACAAGGGTTGTTGTGGAAAGATGTGGTCAAGCCAGCGCTTTGCTTGCAGCAGTAGAGACGATTTCGCACCCCTCTCGGTTGTGGAGCAATGGAGCTTTGAACGCCGGCAGTCTACGGGGAGTGCGATCACCCACACTTTCACGGCAGTAGTTACGGCTCTAGCCAGCAATGTGCGAGTAGGCAGCTAGCTGCAAGTGACGTGGCGGGGTATTGCCGCCAATAGTCTTCGGCCGAACAGCGCGCCGTACAATTCGTCGAACGGACCAAGAGAGCCTTAGTTGCAATAGCGTTACTTTTCGAACGGTCTGTTTGTTTCAAGAGCTGCGACCCTCGCGAGTGCCTCAAACGAAGTGGTCTTGGGCAAGAAGGACTTAGCGCACGCACTCCGTTTGGCTGTCGAGTTGAACTGCACAGAAGCGTGTCCATCTTGGATGCTCTCTGACCTGTTGGCACGCTCCACGTTCCCAGCGCTGGATTATTGTCACCAACCGTATGCCTAGAAGCCTGGTCCACACCCTAGCTCAGAAACCCTTGATGGTAGAAAGTGGTTCGGACTTCGGAATTCAGATCAGACAGACATCCATGAAATGTTGTAACTTAAGCCTGTTCTGCCGCGCATCCTTGCGAGCTAACGGGCAATCAACGGTTGTCGTCGCTTTTTTGCAGGTCGAGTATGTTCACGCTCGCCTTGTTAACCCTGGTGGTTGTGCTGCTCTTCGCGGACCAGAACCTCCTCGCCCCCAACCTCTCGGCGATCGCAGAGGAGTTCGGTTTCAACGGTGGGTGGGTAGTAGAAAGCTTGCTAATGGCTTTGTTTTCATGTGTAGCGGCGGCGTTCTCAAGAGCGGGGCTCTTTGTGCGCTGGAAAACCGGAGTTTATCCACCAACAGCAGCCTGGTACAACTGCAGTACTGTGGGGCCGTGAAGCTGCCGGTCTTCGCTGGTGTAATAAAGTTGGCAAGCGCTGTCGATGACAAACATGGACACGGCATACCTGCGGCCCGGGTCCGCGGGAATATCCTATCGGCGCAGTAAATTGTGAAGTCGTTTTTATTTGTGACCCATGTGGGCGTTTGTGTCCAAGGGTGATGAGCTTGTTGTTGATGGATTTTGAAGGCCAATGGGGAAGAGTTTGCCGAAGAATAGATTGGCCGGCAGAGGTGCGTCGCCGACTGTTGTGGTGACGCTCTTTTTAGGTGTGTAGTTAAGTTATGCGGAGTAGAACGCTGACCCCGGCGCCTCTTTCTCTTGGTAAAACCACGGCATCCATCACGACACTCCACACCGACAACGACATAAACAAAACACACCCAAAACCAACCTATCCACATGCACCAACGCCTTACAACGACAACAACGGCATAACCACATCAACCTTTCAACCACTACCACCCCCTGAGTGACCTTCTTCCTCTTGTGTGACCCTGGCTGATACGTCAGGTATAAACACCGAACGGTCTGTAGACTAGCGCCAGAACAGATGGGACGAGCACACACACCACCACCAACAACAACGACAATTACACAAACAACGCATGCAACACCGACTCATCCACCAACCCCACTACCAACAACGGCTAAAAACAGCGCAACCAACACCAACTTATCCTCCACCGTCAGTCACCAACAACAACGACTTCAAACAACAGCACCAGCAACGGTAACTACAACGAAACAACACCAACTTATCCTCCACCGTCACCAACTTCCAGAGGAAGAGAAGGACAGACACCTGGGGGGTGACATCGCTGTGGCCTTCTTCGGGTTCGGGGCACCGGCGTCGCTCCTCGTGGGATGGCTGACGGACGTCATCGACAGGCGGAAGCTCTTCGTCGCCATCGTAGCGATCGGGGAGATGGGGACCCTGGCGACGGTGTTCGTTACCACATTCTCTCAGGTGCAGCTTCTATTTCAGGGGCTACAGTATTATTTTATTTCAACCATCGTGGCCCTGGTACGTATGACTCTAGATCGATTACCTCTTTTTACTATTGTATGGTTTGCTCTAATTACATATTGTTACGTCTTCCTGTCTTAACTATGAATGCCACCGACGTGTTTGTTTGCGTGCCACGTTTTGTTCGTGCCTTCTCTCCGCTCTTTTTCGCCCGAGATTTTTTCGGGGGCGGAAAGAACAATCTTTTGTTTTGTCGTGGTCTGTTCACTTTCTTGGTGCGGCTTTCTGCTTCGTTTTTTTCGGGCGGCGTTTGAGGTAGAAAGGGAATCGGAGACACTACCGTATTTACTGCTGTGTTGCGTAGCTCGTCTCCGTTCTCTCCGGCAAACCGTTTGCATCATTGCGCTCAGGGCTTGCTACTGGTCACCGGACTCACTGTTTGGGTTTACCCCCTCCATAATTCTTCAGCAACAAGAAGTAGAAGTAGTAGCAGTAGCGGTGGCAGTAGCAGTAGTAGCAGCAGCAGCAGCAGCAGCAGTAGCAGTAGCAGGCGGCCCTTTCGCATGCCGAGTTCCTCTTGCGATTCGGGTGGCACCACGAATTATTTTTTTTTTCCCGTATGCGTACAGCGCGAACAACCTTGCCGATCTCTCCGCGCGCGTGGCGACTGCCAAGGAGAGGGCGCACGGCCAGCGGTAGCCTCGACCGGAACGCAGCAGTTGCTTGACATCACCGCGCGCTTGACATCACCGCGCGCCAGGCAGCAACACCCAACCTACACCCCCCGGCGAAAACCCGGCATAACGCTCCGTCCCGGCATTGTAGGGATGCGAGTAGGTCAATGGTCTAACGACTACGGCATGCGTTTACATACGTACACCCCCCGCGTCCCCCCCGGCGCGCCCGTCTCGGTACACACAGCTCTTCTGGACGCGGGCCATCACGGGAGTGGCCATCGGGGGAGGCATGCCTCTGGTGTACAGCATCCTGGGAGATCTAGTGAGCAGCACGGGGAGGACGGAGGCGTCTGGGTTGATCGGTATCGCCATCGGCATGGGGCTGGGACTGGGTCAGGTACGACTTGGGCCATAGCCGCTGTATGTGGCTCTTACGGCTCGCCGGGGCCAGTACCGGTGACGGCTTTATTTTGCGCTTGCCCTCCGTCAGCTTGTGTCGATCAAATCGCCTGTTCCGGCTGTTCGGTATGTTTCGTTGCCCCTAACTACGTACTTGGAAGTCATCCGAAGAACTCTTCTTCGTCGTGGTCGAGCACTATGTACCACGAGCAGTTTTCACACCGAAACACACGGTTATGTTTTGAAGAAGTCATGCATATGATCAAATTTTACGGAAAGACTTAACGGTGATATTTCGTTCTGCCTGTCTTGTCCATCATCACCAAAGTGATCAGAGCCACGGCCGTTGTTTGTCTCCATTGCGATCACAGTCATTGGTGCTCCTTCCCGAAGAGGGACAGCGGAGATGGGTGCCAGCGATAACCAACGTTGGGTTTGCCAGATTGTGTACTCCCTCCCTCGACGGCGGTACATAGAAAGCTGTTCTTGGGAGTGCGATGTGTATTGCTTGCTTACATGGCCCCCCGGGGGGCGATCGAAATGGTTTCTCTCCGCGCATGCCCGGTCCCGCGCTATTGACCGTGGGCCGAGAAATGCGTCTGTGTGTCGTCGGTTCCCTTTGGCGAGTATCCCCCTTCCGTTGCTCTTGTGTCTTGTCCTGTAGGTTATGAAATATCTCTTGACTTGAATATTCTTCATGTGTACCCCCCCCCCTTCGTACCGCCCCCCCCGGTGTTTGCCATCGGGGTTTGGGTTTTCGTCGCTTGGCAACGACGTTGTAAAACAAGCCCCCCACTCGGTGTTTGCCATCGGGAATGGGTTTTCGTCGCTTGGCAACGACGTTGTAAAACAAGCCAATTCACTTCGTGAACTCGGCAACCAGGTTACCGTTTTTTTTTTTTACCTCGTTTTTTTTTTGGCGGTAACCATAATGGTGGTCGAGTAGATCATGTTGTGCGGGCTCGAGAAACCTCACTCCGCGCAAAGGGGATGATCGCACCACGTTGTGTTAAAATGGTCAAGCTTCCTCGAGGCAGTTACACAATGCTTACAACTTTTCTCTGGAAGTGAAAGCACCAGAAAATAAATTAAGTCATACGTAGCTGTCATCCGTACGCAAGGAAGTAAGCAGAAGATGCCGAACACCCTTAGCAGGATGCAGCTCACCCTTCATGCGACTCGCCGAATACCTCACGGCGCTTCGCGCTTGGTGATGTGAGAGCCTGGTCCGGTGAGACCCCGGCGTGCTCCGTCCCGGCTTTGTAGGGATGCGAGGTCAATGGTCTAACGACTACGGCATGCACGACTATGAGTACACCCCCCCCCCCCCCCCTTCGTACTGGTATATTTTTCTGGCGGTCTACGTAACTTGCGTACGGTTAAGCCTGATCCGGTGAGAACCCGGCGTGCTCCGTCCCAGCGTTGTAGGGATGCAAGTAGGTCAATGGTCTAACGACTACGGCATGTGTTTACATGAGTACACACCGGCTGTCTTGAAAGTTGTCCCCTCTCGTTATCTAGCGGGGCGATCTCATCCCCCTCCTCGTCGTGCCTGCGTGCAAGAAGTTGGTTGCCGGTTTTACTGGGAGTTCCACGAGCTTGGGGTGGCGGCTTCCGTTCCTGCTGATGGCGCTACCCTGCCTGGCGCTCGCGTTGCTCGTGTTGGTGGCCACGAGGGACCCCGCCAGAGGGAGGTGGGTGTCCCAGCAAGCAGTTCCCACGCAAGCTACCGGGACGACTTGTTTGAAAGCGACCGTGGTGTGATGTAAACAATTATCAACGCTGGGGCTAGGAAGGTAGGTGTCCCAGCAAGTAGCCCCCACCCACCGCAAGCAACCATGCTGACTCGTTTATGGCTTGCTTTAAGCGGCCTTGGTGAGACGAAGGTAGGTATCCTAGCAAGTAGCCCTTCTCCGCAAGCAACCATGATTACTCGTTTCTGGCTTGTTTTAAGCGGCCTTGGTAGTGCTGAGCTGCAAAAATACGGTCGTGCAAAAAGCTGGGCTGGGGTAAATGCACCTCATCATTCTCTCGAAAAAACGATCGACACAAGAATAGTCAAGCAAGTGGTTGGTACAGACACGCCTTTCGAGAAGGACCACTCAAACCGATGGCCCTAAATCAAAGCAATGCACAGCAAACGTTCGACGCAAGAATGACCAAGAAACAAGTCCAAAGGGCGAGAAAGTGCAGTTGGTACCAAGCGTGTTGTCCGACAGTCACTACCGTAGGTGCCATGACACAACATACCACACCCCATGGACCGATTTTCAAAGCTCGGTTACAGTACCCCCCGATGAAGAGGATGCCGAAATCAAGCTGTACGTTTACGGAAAAAAACTCTCGACGAGATGGCTTCAACGCCGCCGTTTGCGGCACCACCGCGGCTTTTTCTTGCCGACCAAAAATCGGTCCAGCGGGTGTGTTGTCTTGTGCAACCTGCGGTATTGCTGGGGTTTCGGGCAGGGCAGATACTGCAAGCACTCGGCCTGAAACAGCAATCACGGCCGTCTTTTTTAAGCTGGACGCTGCTGCTAGTTTAGCCGAGCAAACGCACGTCGTGCGCTCTCGTAAACACTCAGGTTGGAAGCAGGCCTACAGGAGCACTTTCGAGCGGGGGGCGAGTACAACGAGCGGCTGAACCTGAACGGCCTGCGCATGCTCGCCAAGAGCCCGACCGTGCTCCTAGTTCTTGTCCAGGGGATTCCCGGCACCTTGCCGTGGGGGGTAAGAGCGACTTCTTCTCCCTAGCTAGGCTCGTCTGATTTGCCCATGTGGGCGCCGCTACAACAGGCCATCTTGTCATTGTGTTGGGTGGCTGGAGTTGGCTCTGGCTGACGTGTAGAACAATTTCTTCACATCGTTGAATTTTTCGATTTTTCGGTATTGAAATCTAACAATTACCGCTACCAGAGTTGTGCGAGAGGACTTAGGTGTCGTTGTGTTGGGTGGCTTGAATTGCCTCTCGCGGTGGTGGCTGATTACCACACATCGTTTTGGGAACGAGCACGTGTGAGTACTATTTTTTTGCGTCAAGCGAAAAAAAGTGCGTACATTTGCCTACTGCTCCGCTTTGGTTCGAGGTGTACACATTCCGGAAGCGAGTGGTACTCATGTTGCCGTACATTCGCACTGTTCGACGTAAGCGCTTGTCCACACCTTGAGCTACGGCGTATCACCCCTGCAGGGGCACGATATGATCATGCCCCCCCCCCTCGCAAGGATGATGACGAACGTCTGGTTTATCCTTATCCTTGTGAAGCTTAGCTTGGGCAGCTCAAAACCCGGCATATCGCTCCGTCCGGGCATTGTATGGATGCGAAGTCTATGGTCTACCGGCTACGGCATGGTGTTCACATGAGCACGCACCCCCTCCCCCCCTGCCGTTGTCCGTCTCAGGTGATTACGGTATTTCTTCCTGATTATCTTCACAAGCAGAGAGGCATGTCGATTAAGACGGCAACGGTGGTCGGCATGATGTTCGGTGCGGCTACCGTGGCGGGCCAGGTGGTGGGGGCAAAGGTCGGCCAGAGCCTGTACAACCGACGGCCTAGGAATCAGGCCCTACTCATGGGGGTGAGGACTCTCGCGTGCCTTCTTATTTCCGTGCTGTTTCCACCCTTCTGGCCACTTTCATCCGTCTCGCCTACCGTAGTAGCATACCGTAAATGACACAAGATAACACACCCCCTGGACCGATTTTCAAATCTCGATTTCTCAACGAGCGATTTTTCGAAGCTTGGCCTCTTCAAAGCAATAACAACGGCGGTGCCGACAAATGTTGGCGGCGTTGGAACTGTCTCGTCGAGAGAGAGCTTTCCGAAAACGTGTCGCATGATTTTGTGCATCCTCTTCATGGTGGAAATCGAGCTTTGAAAACTAGTCAAAGGGGATGTTGTATTTTTGTGTCACGTACTGTAAGATGTCACACCCCCTGCGCCGATTTTCAAGGATCGATTGCTCCTTCCCGGAAAGAAAGGCGGTGCCGAAGATGTCGTCGTTGGAATCTCCTTAACTTAACCTTCTCGTCGAGATCTTCCCGAACATGTGTAATTTCAGGCTGGCATCCTCTTCGTCGTGGAGCACGTAGTCGAGCTTCGAAAAATCGACCTGTCCAGGCGGTGTGGTATCTTGTGTCACCTACCGTGCGTGTACCGCTGCTGTGCTTGGTAACGGTTTTTGCTTCTACAGCAGTGGGAGCCTCCCCAGATAAGGCGGTCTGAGCATTATGATTGGTTGCCCGATATATGGCGGGTGAGATCTCTTCCTACAGGTAGAACACCCAATTCAAGCTGTTTCATGCTTTGAATGACTCGGTGGCCCCTATTTGTAAGGCGGTTACTCTCAGCTCCCTTTTTGGGGAACCCCCTGTAGGTGTTTTGTCCCCTCGGTGTTTCACCCTATGGGTCAGGTCATCCCGCCGCCGAAACGCTGCGATATGACTCCGGGCAAAGGGGATGATTGCACCACGTTGTGTTGAATTGGTCAGACACCCTCGGGGCAGTTTCACAGTGCTGATAACTGTCTCTGGAAGTGCAAGCACCAGAGAAAATATTAAGTCGTTCGCAGCTGTCATCCTTATGTATGCAAGGAAGTAGGCACAAGATGCCGAACACCCTTAGCAGGATGTGCGTCGTGTGCGTTCTTCTTTCTCCTAGCTGCCTGTGACACGACCGCGCGACGCTCTTGGCGAAGCTCTCGGCTTTCCACCTATGAAGCCGAAATCAAACAATTGGACAGCGCTGACTATTAGTGTAATGTTTTGAATCAGGCTTCTATAGCTTTTCCCTCCCGTTCGACTAGCCAGCGCTAATGGTTTGATTTCGGCCTATACTATATAGCTCTTCCCTCCTCCACGCCTCATTTGCGACCAACTCCAACACCAACACCACAATCAAAGGCCACTCCCGCAAATGACTCCGGCACAGCCCCCCCCCCCCCCCTCGGTGATGTGAGAGGCTGGTCCATAATGGTAGTCGAGTGGAATATGTTGTGCGGGGTCGAGAAACCTCACTCCGCGCAACGGGGGATGATCGCACCACGTGGTGTTAAAATGGTCAAGCACCCTCGAGGCAGTTACACGGTGCTTACAACTGTCTCTGGAAGTGAAAGCACCAGAAAATAAATTAAGTCATACGTAGCTGTCATCCGTACGCAAGGAAGTAAGCACAAGATGCCGAGCACCCTTACCAGGATGCAGCGCACCCTTTATGCGACTCGCCGAATACCTCACGGCGCGTCGCGCGTGGTGATGTGAGAGCCTGGTCCGGTGAGAACCCGGCGTGCTCCGTCCCGGCTTTGTAGGAGTGCGAGGTCAATAGTCCAACGACAACGGCATGCACGACTATGAGTACACCCCCCCCCCCCCCGCTGCAGATGTCGACCATCGCGGGGACCCTGCCTTGCGTCATGATGATCCGGTACTCTGGAGGCGTCTTCGGCGTCTACGCGGTGTACGCGATGGCGGGGGGGTTCCTGGCCGCCATGACGGGGCCGAACATCAGATCGGTGTTGATGTGAGTGCTCGAGATAGACGCTGCTGCGCTCTTGTTCTGCCGGTTGGCGTTTTTGGATTCTGTGCGGGAGGATCTCGTGCGGTGCTCTTTCGGGTTTAGCGTTTTGGTTTCGTGCGGGGGGACTCTCCTGCTGCGCTCTTTTTCTACCGGGTTGGCGTTTTTGGTTTCTGTGCGGCGGGATCCCCTTCCTCCACCGGCGCGTTCCTGCTTGGGGTACCTACCCGGCACCTCCCTCCTGATTTGGATAGGGGGGGTGGTACGGGTTGATTGACGCCCCCCCCGACAGAGCACTGCGTTCTCTCTCTTTAAATTTCTTTCCACGTGCTACTACCATTTCTATAAGGCAGAGTCAACGTTCTTGTCTGCGCCTTTGCCAAACAAGGGGCTGTCCGCCTGTGAACTTGATCGAAGCACCGCTATTTGTACCAGTATAACATGAGGATTAGGTAACCTTGTTAACACGAGGACATGTCACCATACCCTACACCAAATGTGGGTGAAATCGTGCGCCCCCCCCCCCCCCCCCCCCCTTTTTTTTTTTTTTTTGCACTCTAAGAAACTCCCCCCTTCCTCCCC